GAGGACGGTGCAAGAAGCTGCACGGTCAGAAACAAAGAGAAGCACCGTACATGCAATATAGTACAGCTGGTTACGTGCTGTCTACGGGTCTTCCAGATATACATGTGCACCATATATATATATATATGCATGTATGTATGTAGCTATGTATCTATGTGCCTATGTATGCGTGTATATATACATGTGCCAACAAGGTTTGCCACCTACATATAAGAGCGTCTGCTGCGTCACGGTTGTGCCAGTATTTGTCACCTAAGCGAAGAAGAGGGCTACATCTACTGCAGACAGGACAGAAGCAGACGCAGATGAGACAATGGTGTGCATTACCTACATTCATGTGTGCAGCAGAGGCAGTTCTGTGACATGTTTGCGCCATTGCGAGCTTTTGGGTAAAGAGCTACAACTGCAGGTTTAGCACAGACCAGGCTATCGAGGTTACCACACACACCACTACGATTCTAGTAGCTCTGACTAAGCTTGCAAATGAAAGAAACACTGGGGTCATAGTATGGGTGATACTGAAGGTACTACGGATAGTCTTAGGTCTATTACCAGCCCGAATGCTCGAGTCACCATTGACATAAGGGCCAATGGCAAGGACAGTGCTAGGGCTGATGTTGAAGTCCAACATGAGCATCCACAGTAGGAAAGGGCTACCATGTACAATATGTTGAGGTAAGCAAACAAATACCTTCATCGTCGCTAAATCTACGGGCCCTCGTTCGGGCAACGCTACACCTGAGAGAGCTAAGGATCATGGTTATGAATAAAATGGCTGGGGGGTTCGGTTCATGTTTGCATGAAAAAGACGGTTGCATTGCGGATAGTATTTGGGCAGCATCTAGCTTGCCCGCCATGATTTTAACAATTCAGGGTTCATGACTGCTCGTTCTAGGGATACACAAGTACAAGCAGATTAATTAAGCTGTTGGTGAGACCGATCGTAGGGGTTTCTCCTAGGGCGATACTGGGATTGGTGTTGAGAGAAGCATTCGGCACATTCTGAAGGCTAGCAATACGTATAGCCTCTGGGTGATATTCAGTTTGGGAGTAAGATACATCTTAGAGTCAGGCACTAGGATTGGGAGGGACTCCAGCATCCTCGCTATCGGGGTGCCAACCAGCTTGGTATATCATGCTATATCAGATTTCAGGTGGATATCAGGGTTAGTATGTGGATGAATAGTGGGGTGACTAGTCAGCAAAAAGCGAAGAGTCTCAATCCATGAAAGCTACGGTGTTGAGCTAGGAGGCGCCTCTTATAGGGTGAACATGAAACAGAATAGCAGGGGTTACCCAAGCTACTACCAGGGCAAGATACGAGGCCTGGCTTAGGCTTGCTGATAAGCTCAAGCCTAGCAGTAGGCTAGCGGCTAGAATCGGCTAGAATCCTGTCGAGTATAAAGTTTTGATATCAGGGTCAGCTTCACTTCTGTTCCTGGGCTCGAGTCTTAGGCTTGACACTATGGAAATCCGTAGGCTGGTATCAGGGTTGATGTCGAGGTCACCGTTGAGGCCAAAAGTGAGGGCCAACGGCAAGGCTTGCGTTAAGGATGGTTCGGCTCTGAAGCAGCAGTCAGTAAGGCTCACGGTCATTTACATGCAGTTCTAGGGCTTGGCTGTGGGATCAATGTCGCACGGGTTTTAATGAGGTGACGCTCCGACCCGGAAACCGGAATCTGCGCCTCTGAATGTACGCAACTGCATTATATATATATATATATATATATATAGAGGGAGAGAGATAAACAGACAGATAATCACAAATAAGGAGAACGACAGATAGATGCACAACAGAGGCAGAGAGGGGTGTTGGACTGTGGCTCCGACTGTACTTTCTGGCACGATAGCCAGGCTTGTGTATATTTCTACTCATCTGCACACATGTCGCACCTGACAGGCCACAGCTACTCACGTCGGCAACCTCAAAATGCGTGCAGAGGCTCAACCACGGAGATCCTCTGGGGAGTCTTGCGCTTCAGACGGAGGAAGAATGTCAGGATGACTGTGCCCTGAGTTCGGCCAGGAACGTCGTTGAGGTGATGCAGTCTCAACTCGCAGCGGCAGCAACCCCCTTTGTGTAGCCCGCCAGAGCCCTGAAGACGAAGCTCAAACTAGAGGCCCCAGAGGACTCGCACCATGAAACTCTGGTTCTCGTGCTATGTGTTGCAGTCCTACTACTTAGTGGTCTACTGGGTATTTTGTTGCCCTCTCTCATGAAGCTCTTTTTTGGCAGAGCCAAGCTGCAGATCGGCTGGTTGATCTCAGAGCTGTCTGGCATCGTGAGACCAAGTTGGGCTCCAGATCATTGGTGACAATGATGCGATTTAGGGCATTAATGATGCAGTTTAGGACTCAATCGGGGCTTCCTAGCTTTCTAGTTCTTGCTTTTGTAGCTGTAACCGTTGCCAGTGTTATCACTCCGTCCTTCTGCCTTCTTTGACTAGGAGGGTGGCAGTCGTAGCGGCCACTCCCGAAGCCCGTGACACCTCCGAACCCTACGTTTGTTGAGGGATTTCTTGGAGGTCGTGAAAAAGAGGCCTTCTTGCCTGGCAGGTGGGCGGTGGGCTCGCGGATTTCGGGGACCGCAGAAGGCAGACGCCCTTGCTCGTCAAGACTGCACACGCAAACCTTGACCAACAACTGCAATCCACACAAACCTTAATGGCTCCAACCCTGCACCCAGGAGCCATGAACTCGCGGAAGCTACGACCAGTTAATTTTCTGCAGGAAACTCAGCCGGTACCCCAAAGCCAAGGCATGCCAACTGGCCATAAACTTCCAGACCTATTGACAATGAAACTACTGCGGTGGATTTACCATTGCAGATCCCTCGCGACCCACCTTCGTGCTCCATCAACCGGGTCCGAGGAGTGGGATCCTTCCTGAGCGGTGCTTCATTTCTTCTGTGTCTGATGTGATTTGTTGGTGGTTGCGTGGCGTGTTACTGGGTCTGCATGAGCTTTTGGACGTTTTCTGGCGGCCTACAAAGCCTAGGGCATTTTGCGGATCCTTGTCGTGACAGGGTGCTATTGACATTCCCCAACCGGTGTGGTACATGCTACTGGGTTCGTACGTTCACAGCAAAGCTATGTGGTCAGTGCATGCTGGACGCGCATGCGGAAAGGTTCCTCCAGCTACTGCCGTGGTGAGGTGCATCTTGCGCGACTATAATTTGCACAAGTCCGTGCGGCTGCGCCGTCCGGAAAGCGCGACTCAGTGTAAATTCCCATACATTGGCGTCCTTCTGGCCTCGATGTGTCTGCATCACACCAGTACATGGAAGGAAGCATGTTGGCCGCGTCTGTGACTCTGCCAGTACATCGGAGAGACATGTGGCCCCGGTCCTGAATCCCAATACAGTGTTTGAGAACTTTGCGGTCTTGTTTTTTGAGGGCTTGACAGCAAGCGAGAGTTCAAGGGTGAACTGGGGAAGTCCGCAGATTTGCATTCCAAATGCTTCTATCCGAACCCCACAAAATCCCACAAAGTATTATATTGTTGCTGTAATTACGCAAGTATTTCTATTGTTACTGGTCTTACTATAAAAGAAGCCCAAAACCACGAGCTGCCGCCACGTCTCGAGGCTCTCTCACCGGCCACAGGACTGTTCTCCTTCCGGTGGCTTTGGGGGCTTTCTAAGGATCGAGGACTGCCAAGTGTATACTTCGAGTGTGCAGCATATTATCTTGCCACACATCCTGCTCCATTACTGTAAAACCGATCAATCTATCCATCTATCTATACACATGTGTATATATATATATATTCTCATATAAATTTTTATACGTACATAGTAACATAGATACATAGATACATACATAGATACATAGACACACAGATACAAAGGCACAGAGATGCAGACATACATACATCCATGCATGCACGCAAGCAGGAATGCAGGATTGCATACTTCTTTTGGGCGGAGGTGTGGGTTGTTCCCAAGAACTCCTCGTCGGAGTGGTCCTCGAGTTGAGCCACCTGCAATGACAACACCGTGTGATGAATCCCAGGGCGTGCTGCCCTATACTATACACACACATACATGTTAACATGCATGGGTACATATGTACATACACAGGTCTATACATACGTACAGATATGTAGCAAGCCCAGAATCCAAACTGAAAGCGAAGCTAGATGCCGATTCTCTATTAAGCTCTGCCTCCTGCTTTCGGCGGGTGGTGCTTGACCGGAATCGCTCGATGGACTCGGGCGAGGATGCGATATTCCGCGCCGCAGCGCTCAGGCAACGAGATCCAAGATGAGAAGTACCGAAGTCTGAGGTAGGGGCACCCTTCATCACGTTTTCCATGCGCCCGCCGGCAGAGTTCGCTTTGAGTTTCTGGCAGGGCCCGTCGGCTCAGAATGCACCAGCCACAAGAGTGCCAAGCCGTGTCGAGAGACCCAGGTGCCTCCAAGTGGGTGAGATCTTCGGGCTCCTTTGCTTGCTTCAGTCTAGACAGCACTAGTGCAGGGGTGCCATCGGTGCAGTCCTCATTGGTCATCTGCAGCTGTGAGGCTGAAGCCTTCGCAAGGCACGGAAATCACGAGGAGCCACTGCCGAGTCCGTGCACGGAAGCCTCGAGTCGCAGTGAGTCGCAGCCGCTCTATGGGCAAGACATGGGCCGTCTGAGGCCGAAGATTAGGCAGTGAGACTGCCTGGGATGCGTGTAGCTGTCACTGCAGGTTCTTGCCGCGCTTCCCAGGCAACCCAAGCAAGGTAGATAAACCTCGTGATCTCAGGCAGCAGGGATCGCCCACTTTTGCTGATGTTGGCCGTGTTGGCTGATGCTGACATCTGTCTGGACCATGTTTCCGGTACTCCAGAAATGGCTACAGGGAACGTCATCGCAACTGCATGCAATGCAGTGGCAGCACAGACTGCTGCGTGCAGCGCAAGCAGGTCTCCAAAATTCAGTGGTATCCAGGCATTAGCAGATGTGCTCGCCAATGCATGGAGTTGCACGTACCAGTACACGCCACTCTGGGATCCGAGCCCAGCGGTCGAATGCCTTTGGGTCCTGTTGTTCAGTGCAGTCATCTCTGAGCAACCTGGGTCGACACTCACTCAGCTTGCTCGGCCGCTTATCTGCTGGGAGCGGCTCTAAGCAGCCTGAAGACATCTTGCCTAGCCTTGCAGAAGGTGCAGTGAGACATGCAATCCTCATACGATCGTCCCAAAACGACACGAAAAGTCCTTGCGGATGTTGCCCTCGCCGGAGCAAGGCCTCAGTCTCTGACAGAATTCGGAAACCGTCAGAAGCACTCGCCATGCCCCCGCTCATCTCCTTGCAGTATCCTTGCAGGAACCCTCATCGTAAGCCCTGGAGGCAATCCTCAATGCAGCAACCCTCTCTGTGAGGCCTCATGACTAATTTCTACCCTTCTACTCACCCGCTGGTCGGGCTTCTTGTTTAGGTTTATTTGTATATATATATATGTATATATATATATATATGGATATATATATATATATATATATATATATATATATGGTTTTAACACCTCAAAGCTTCAAGGAACCCACCCGGCTTAGGTTTCACTGAGGGCCAGGGCGCATCCACGAGGATGGCATCGAAAGCTTCAGGGCAAAGCTCACCAAAGAGGCGGCCGTCAAGGCTCCTCGGTGGGAGCTCGAGACTTGGCCACAAGGACGGTCACATCTATCTATCTGTCTATCTATATACATATATATATATATATAGACATATACACATACATATACAAATATATACTTATTTATTTATCCATTTAAATTCGAAAGAATAGAAATATAGATTCGTATCAGTTCCTCTCAAAACCGGATCCCTGAACACTAAGCCCAACTCTGAAAGTGCGTCCCCCCCCCCCCCCGCCCGGCCGCCAAGCTGCGAGACGAAGGCCTGGGAGGCCCCGGAGCGGAGCAGGTTGGCTCTGAGAAGTCGGGCCTGGCAGGTTTAGGGTTTAGGGTTTCGGGTTTAGGGTCATTCTTGTTGTTATTCGTTACTATTCTTGTTATGCTTACATTGTTGTCTTTATGGTTGTTATTTGTATTATGAAAACTTCACTACTAAGATTGTCATTATTAGTACTGTTGTTGATGCTATTATTGTTACTGTTATTATTGTTATTCTTGTTATTACCGTTACTATTTTATTGTTGTTATTGTTCTATTCTTAGTATTGCTACTATCATTGTTATTATTACCCTTATTCTGACTACTGTTGCAATTATTGTTGTTATTGTTACCACTAGTATAACTGGTATTATTGTCAGCTCTGTTATGATAATTGGTGTTGGTAGAATTAGTGCTACTCCTATTGTTGCTATCGTTACCATTGTAATCATGGTTATTGTTGATGTTGTTAGTAGTATTGTTACTATTAGTGCTACTGTTCTTATTATTTTTGTTACTGTTGCTGTTCTTGCTCTTCTTGTTCTTCTATCATGGGATTTCTGCGCTTGTGCTCATTACATAGCATGTACATTTCTTCAAGGATTCTTGGTGGTACAGATGCGTAGCGAAGCTGCAATATGTCAAAAAAAACTGGATATTGGAGGAGTACAGATCTGAAACGGCTGAGAAGCGCGCGCGATCCTCACGGAATTCGTTGGCCTGGAATGCAAATTCGGCGGAAACAACTTCCAGGAGGTCCATCAGGCCCGCGACGGCAACTCCGGAGGCTGTGCATATTCGATGCCTGCAAGCCTTCAGCCCGCTGGCAACCCTTACGACTACCTGAGACCCGCTCAGGTGAGCACTATCAGCACCGTACCCCTGGGCAGCTGCGACATGAGCTGCGTGGCCTCAGTTGAGATGTCCCACTTCTGTATACTCTGGTCTGAACTGGAGGGCCATTATCGCACATTGGCAAGCGAAGCAATCGACAAGCTAGAAAAAAGGGGAGGGCGCAATCTCCTGATGCATGAACCCACAGGCCCAGTCCTCAACTATGGACGTGTTCGAGCAGCTTGCCGTCACGCCCACATTAGCCCCTGCTGTGGCCAACTCAATTAAAGGATCCACCGTACCAAACCAGATTTTCTCGCCGTGCATTTAGCCCGCGAGATCGTCTATTACGAATAGACGCCTCGGGACTAAGCCCTCATAGTACCCACGATAACCTCTCTAGCAAGCATGTAATAATCCTCACAGCAGCCGTTATAGCTATAGTAACCCTCATCGTAAACCCTTGTCATGCCTTTACAGTAAGTAGCTGCTGAGGCGGGGAGGGCTGTTACTTTGACTTGTTTTTGTGGGTTGGGGTTTGAGAAATTCTGTTTTCAATAAGGATATGTATGGCTTTAGGCGTCAGGTTTTGCAAAATTTGGGTCCCGGGGGTCCTTTGCGCTGGGGCATTGGACGTGGTATGCAAACGGCAAAGTCGGAGACCACTGGCCCAAGCCCCAACCTGAAAACCCTGTCTCGGAGGTGATCCCATTCATGACGATAGGCACTAGGAAAGCAAAGAGCCAGACCATCATCTCAGGGCTCGGCTGGTAAGTTAGAAGGATGACTGGGATTGAAGTTAAACACAGCGCGACCAGATCATGAACTCAAAACTAGCAGTCGGCTCGCAATGCAATGGTTTGCGCGGCCGGAAGAGGCAAAACCTCAGAGAGCGTGACGGCGTTTACGCGAAGAACACGCTGGGTGAGACGAAGTGAATTTGAACGTTGATAGCCCTCACAGGCTGTTGACGGCGATTGTCGGCAAGAACGACGTTTGAAGCTTCTTGCGTACAAAACTATGAAACAGGGCATCAACGGATGCCTCTCAAGCTCCGTTAATTTGGGAGGCTGTCAGCCCGCATGTGCATCTCCACATAGTGAGGCGAAATCACATGCAAGGTCAGGATGCCTTTGTCCTAGCTTTCGCAAAAGATGCGTTACCTCAGCCTGAAAGGCTGCATGGCGATTGTGCAATGTCATGAGCGATGCATGCTGCAGCTTGTTCACCGCTTCCTCATCCTCCAGCTTACGCTGCAAATCCTCCAGCTCCCGTCGGAGCTCTGCAGCCTCACGGGCTGCAACCTGAATCGGCAACTCTGCGTTCGCAGATTGCCATTCCTTCGGGGCCTTCTGCGCCTGCACCATGTCCAACTCCTGGGAAAGCTGCTGCTCGCTTTTTTGCCTCGCAGCCTCGCGAGCCGCCAGCCCGTAAGACGCATGCTCCATGAGAGCACCTAGCAGCTCCTCCCTCTCGGAGTCGCGAGATGCGTTCAGAAGGATCTGCCGACGGAGCTCTGCCTGGGACTGTTCGAGCTCATTACGCACCTGCTCCAGCTCGGAATCGCGAGATGCATTCAGATGGATCTGCCGATGGAGCGCTGCCTTAGACTGTTCCAGTTCATTACGCGCATGCTCCAGCTCCGAGTCTTGCGCTTGGAATTGGCGCTTCATCTCCTCCAGCTGGTCCGTAAGTCTGATTCTGTCTGCAAGGAGAGCTTCAATCAGGGCAGCCTCTGTCTGCCGTGCATGTTGTTGCTCAGGGCTGCCCAGTCGACTTCTCCTTCTCTCCTCTTTCAATTGCGCTCGTAATTCCTGTGAAACCATCTGTGCATGGTTGAGTAGATTTTGCATCTCTTCGACAGTTGACTGCAGCTGGAGCACTTGCTCTTGCAGCATGTTCTCTGTGCTCGTCATGTACATCCTATTGTCACACAGACCGCTTGCAGCAGAAGTTATGTGCTTCCACATCGAGGCCATCGCAGCGAACCCAGAAAGCAGAAACTATCCTGTTTTGAACTTGTGCCGCCAGTCGAAAACCGACTTGCAGCTTGAGCCAGGGCTGTGTAGCTCGAAACACAGTTGGGAAAGGCCCTAGCATCAAAACCCCAAACTCTGAACCCAAAAAAACCATCCCTGAAAGGACCGAAGACGGCCTCATGCGTGGGGGCATAGGGGTTTATGGGTTTAGGGGTTTAGGGTTTAGGGGCTTAGGGTTTAGACAAATGGGTCAGTGGAATTGGTGGTTTAGTGTTTAGGATTTAGGTCTGAGGTTGAAGGTCTCGGGTCCACCCCTCTTATTCGCATCGTGGTGTCTCACTTGGTTTCCGGCCTTGCTGCCGGGAGCGGCACAAAGGTCCTCGCAATTCGGCATCAACTGCTCTGCAACCATGATACAAGATCATACCATCTGATCCAATGCCGATACAACCTGACATAGTAAATACAGTTTTAATATGATGCAACGCACTATACGGCAATGTGCCTTCGAGCATTTTCAGCGTGTGGATTCTACTCTGGAAGGTCCTGCATGCACCCCCGGGGCCAATCGCATGACCCTTCCAACTCCAATGCTAGACTGCTCTCATTGACACGTCGTTGAACATGGGTGGGGCTGGTCAGTCCAGAACGTATTCTGGCGAGATCTGATGCCGGCGCAGTGCAGCCCCAAGAACCTTCCAAGAGGGTTGGCAGAAGGTGAAGGCGGAAGATGCATGATGGATCTTGTAGGCCACCATGCGAGACTGGAACCACGAATGCGCAGTCTTTCTCAACAACACAATGCTACTTCTCATATTCTCAGGTATGGTACACAAGCGACCTACCGTTGGCCTGCCCGGCCGACACCGACCGTGTAGCCGCCATCAAACCCGGGATCACAGAGCATCCTCGACTTCCAACCACCTACAGATTGCCGCTAATCATCAAAAGCCGCCCAACAGCTACAGCTCAAATTATCATTTTGACTGCGAATCTATGATCCCAGGACGTTTTGCGCCGGATTGCCTCCACCGGCAGCGTGGACGTGGTTTCCTGTCCTTGTCGGAATCAACAGCCCCCTGTAACATGGCCGAAAAGCCAAAAGCAAACAGCCACAAGGGTCAGGTGGTCTCAAGCCTACAGCTGCTGTTCGGGCATAACTTGAAGCATTAGATGCTTCGCATAGCAAGCGGCCAAGCCCAAAAGCATCCCAGAAGCTCTGAAGCTCTTCTGACACTTGGCTCTTTGCAGCCCTCAAAATCCCGGGGCCCTTGCCATAGACCTCACCACGTCGGTGCACCAAACTCCTTCCCAGGGTTGGGGCCTCGTGCAGGCGGGTTTCTGCTGTGATGCTTTCCGAGGTTGGGCGTTGGGTCTTCCGGCTTAGCTTAGCAACTAATAGAATTTAATAGAAACTTCAAACGAATTGAAGAGTTTAGGGTTCAGCCGAGTCTTCCGACATCCGACCGGCGTTTGTTCTTGTACAGCCCTGTCGAGAACTTCAAACCTCACGTTACCATCAAGAACTACGGCTACTCATACTAGGCTCTCGTTCTGCGATGCCAGTTCCGATCCGGAAATCTAGAAAGGGCTCCGAGCACTCCAAACCCACGATTCCTACCTACCCAACCAATTTCGACCACGCCATGAATCCAAAATGCACACTTTGGCGGGAGCAGCAGGAGCACGATTTCGGTAGACGGACATGCAGACATGCATGGGGACAGGATCTTTGGACCATCTGCATGGCACTGTGACGGGAGCACAACTCGCAGCATTGGAAAATTGCGAAAGTGAGGACTTGCGAGAGTCCGATGTCCACCCAAAATACGCAAGGCACTGTGGCGAGAGGATCCCACACCGTTTGGGTAAGTTACCTCTTGCCTGCCTACTACTACTTTTGCTGTGAGTGGTATTGTTTGCAATCTTTGCTGGTGCTTTGCTGTTTTGTTGTTGCTGGTAGTCTGGGCCTTTGCTGCCGTAGTGCTACTGTCCATCATTTACTACAACAACCACTATCAGACTTCTTTCGGAAGTTGTTGCTATCATTTCCATTGCTAGTATCCCTAGTTTTGCATTTGCCATGTTACCCCAATCATCGAAATGTTTGAGTGCTCGCTTCCTGCTACCATACACGCATCGCCAGAATCATGGTTCTTCATGTCCTCGCATCATGCTCATTCTTATCACTCGTGACTCGTGCTTCTATTGATTATCATTGGGTGTTGCTCGTAATCTTGGTGCTATTGCTAGTAGTTTACATGTATTAGGCTAGCAACTTGCTGGAGTTGAGTCTTTTCGCCCCTAACCGTTCTTACTTCTTGTTCGGTGCAATACTGTGACGGTGGTTATGACAACTATCGCCGCTGGTCACACAATCACACTACACGATGATGTCAGAATTGTAAGCGCTATTTACACTCTCCCAACTTCATGAACTATACTTGCAATAATTGCCAAGGTTATCCTGGACTTGACCCCATGCCTGGCAGTTGAGCTCGTCAACCGCAGCGACGAAAAAACCTCGGCGGGATGTTTGCGATTGGATTGGTGGCTTGGGGTTTATGTATATGCGAGCCGGTGCAAAAGCTTCGTTCTTCAGAGCACGTCGGTTTGGCAGAAATCGAGGCATCCTCAAAGCCCGCCGCCAGCAGAAAAGCAGATTGCTGTTGATAGGAGCCCGATTGCATGCTGTCTGCACGGCATGTGCAATTCCGACTGTCAGACTGTCTATACGAATCGAATCTGAGGCGACCGAGTGGCCATCCGAGCTGAAGGGCGACGGCGACAAACGGAAGCCTTTGGTTGGTTGGGGAGGGGGGGGGGAGGGGGGAGGGGGGCGCAAGCCAAAGATCTTCAGAACTTTGGTTTCCGATTTCGATTTCTTCCCAGTTCCTGGTGCCTCTTCTTAGTTAGTACCGAGCCTGCTACCCTACTTGTCAACCTGGTCGTGGAAGTTGCTGCCGCTGGAAAGCATTGTCACAACACCACGAACTTCCACTGCACTCTCAAAACAAAGAAGCCGATCTCCCTTGAAGCTCACACCAATCACGAAGCATATTGATAGCTGTTATTTTCACACGTGCGGTGAAAAAGTGTTCTCAATATGAAGCCCTGCATCCCTCCTGCCTTCTTCCCGTAGGCGACCTTGCAACCTGCGCTGTGCCCGGCGCCGGGCAACGCGCAGTGCGGGCTGTGGAGGCCGGGCGCAGCTCCTGCAACAGCAGCCCTGACCACCACAGGGATGGTTGTCAAAATTATGGTCCTGTTTTGACTACCTACTTTAATACGGCACCTACTATTTAGGGTACCCATACAGGGACCATAACTTCGACAACCACTCACATGCTAATAGCATCGTGCACAATGCTACTTTGACCGCAAAAGATAAACGCTAGATTGCTCTAGCAGAGAAGCTCAACCGTTGCAGCCACCGGAGCCACTGGCGGCGCAACTTTCAAGTAGCAACAGGTTTATGAGGTCAAAGCAACCACCGAAATACGGCCCGACCTCCATATTGTCTTATCTTATGTTATGTTATGCTATATTATGTTGTACTAGGCTATAGTATGTTGCACGATATTATACGTTATTATACGATAATATATTATGTCAAATTCTTGCTTCCGTCCTCAAGAACCGCCGAAGTTCGCAGCCACCGAGACCCCCGGCAGCACAAAGGTGAGCCAGGAGCCGCCTTGCACAGGGCCCACTGGATCGCTTTCACGAAACAAACCCTGCAATCGCTCCTCGGCGCTGGCGGGCTGCGCCGCAGCCGCTGGTGATCCGAGCATGAAACGCCACATGCACAAATCATCCGTCGGAGTGGAGTCAGCTGGAGTTGGACTTGGACTCTGCTACGGGTCCGACAAAGTTACGTAATGCCTGGTGGGCTTGGACTGGGCCGGGAAGGTTCTCACTGGAGCTGCTCTGCCGATCTGTTACTCTCCTGGGCTGACTTTGCAGCCTCAAGCGATGTGGAAGCCTGGAGTTGCAACATGAAAATCACGTCTCACAGGCCGCTACGCCGCTCCGAGCGGAGGGCTACTTGACGGTTTGGGGATTCTCTTAGATGTCTGATTTCTTGCGCAGTCTGACGCCCCACAGATGAGTCGGTGCACAACTGCTAGTGACTTCTCGACAGGATTGGTGCAAACCGCTCTTTTGATCTCCCGCGCAGCCATTAAGATCTTTGGCTGCAGCCTGAGTCAAGGAGCCATCATCTGAAAGCGCTCAACCAATTGCAGGCGACTTGGTGACCGGTCAGACTCAACAGTTGTTGCAGAGGCTTCATTCTTCTTCTGCTGCTGCTCACGATGCTGCTGCTGATGCTGCTGTCCAGTTCTAGCCTGGTGACGGCCCATCTGCTTGCGGCGATCATTGGCCACCTCACCGGCAGGTTCAACAACTTTCGGGGAATGAAGTTACAATCCATCTGTGTGATCCGCAGGTCGCCAACCGTCATTTCACTCGCATCCGCTTGGGAAAGTTCCTAGTCGCCTGTCATTCCACACCGAAGACAGCACAAGTGTCTACAAATGGAAGGAGTGTCTGCAGAAATCTGAAAAAGTTGTTGCCATCCGACTCCAGGTTTGCTTCCAACCTCCTGACGACCAAGCCGCTGCCCACAGATGATCGGATCCTTGTTATGAGGACCCTTATAAGGTACCCGTCGCTCCAGTGGCGTCCCAGCAGCAAGAATCTGCAGGTGGGACAGGCGCTCCTGGGCGTAGGCCAGCGAGTGCCGGGCGTCCTTCAAAAGCACCAGGCATTCGATTTTGGGTCTAGAGTTTAGGGTTTCTGGTTTAGGTCCAGCTTAGGGCTTCAGGGGGATGAACAAATGTGAGACTTTGGAGGATGTGGGAAGATAGAGGGAGCCTGTTCGGCGTACCGGTTACAGAGCCTCGAGCTCAATATTTCAACCGGATCTCCAAACCGACCCCACAACCTGAACCGCGAACAAAGTCCGAGCCCTCTTTTGCCTCGCGCACATCTTGAGACCAGCGGAGCACGACTCTACTAGGTATAGCCCTGGTATAATCACGGTCTAAACGCTCTGCGTTCGACGGATGTGCGAGCATAGATGAGCCGCGGCAGGGACGCCTAAGATCCTCGTATAGTGTACAGATTCCTACACCTAGCTGTAGGACGAAAACCCCACTCAAATAACGAGGAAGCGTGATTGCACACAAGGGAAAGAACGAGACAGAAGAGAAGAAAAAGATAGGGAGAGACGGCAAGAGGCAGCAAGAGAGAACAGAGAGAGGGAGAGAGAGAGAGAGAGAGAGAGAGAGAGACAGAGATAGAGATAGAGATAGAGATAGAGATAGAGATAGAGATAGAGATAGAGATAGAGATAGAGATAGAGATAGAGATAGAGAGAGAGAGAGAACGAGGGAGGGAGAGAGAGAGAGAGAGAGACAGAAAAAGAGAGAGGAGAGAAAGAGAAAGGAGAGAAAGAGAAAGAGAGAGAGAGAGAGGAAAAAAGAATGTAGAAAAAGAGAGAAAAAAGGAGAGAGAGAGAGAGAGAGAGAAAGAAAGAGAGAGCAAGAGAGAGAAAGAGGCCGAAAGAGAGAGAAACAGCGAGAACGAGAGAGAAAGAGGGAGAAAGAGGGAGAGGGGAGAGGGGAGAGAGAGGGGAGAGGGAAGAGGGAAGAGGGAGAGGGAGAGGGAGAGGGAGAGGGAGAGGGAGAGGGGCAGAGGGAGAGGGAGAGGGAGAGGGAGAGAGAGGGGGAGAGGGAGAGGGGGAAGAGGGAGAGGGAGAGGGAGAGGGAGAGGGAGAGGGAGAGAGGGAAGAGGGAGAGGCAGAGGGAGAGAGGGAGAGAGGGACAAGGTGAGTCAGAGAGTGGGGGAGGGACGCAGGGATGCAGGGACGGCGAGCGAGGAGCACAGCGAACAGTACAAGCCCCGCAATGCTTGCGACTCGATCCGGCCTGGAGTTCCTCAAACAGTGCTCGGCTGAGGCGCGTGGCCAGGCGCAGAAGCTCCGACTCCTGTGCATACGCGTGCATACGCACGGAAAACTGACAAAGAGACATAGACAGTGTGTTTCTGTGTCTGTGCGCGTCTCTGTGTCTGTTTTGTGTGTGAAGGTGTGTGCATCTAAATATTGTACTACATGGTGTTGGAGGCTATACCATCTTACTATATGTCACATTATACTATATTGTACTGTGTTAGATATGTTGGGCCGTATTCTAAAAAAAACACTACAGCACAACATACAACAATATAGTGCAGTGCAATGAACTTGTGACACAATAAAAACACATCATGATACATGGGAACAAAACGGAATACAATACAACCTAACAGCCACATAATATGATACCAAATCACGCGATGCATCACATCACGTCGTCCCGTGCAAATTCTGTGTACTCTGATGTATCATCATGTGATATAGCAGAACAAAACTGTATGATACGAAAAACCGTCCTAGTACAGTGAACTATTATTACTGTGATATACTACAAGGTACTGCAATATGCCATAATATACTAATAACGTACTATTACATATTTTATGTAATGTACAAAAAGCTTCCCTAATTCAGACTGAGATACGACTTTACACCATAGCATGTTATAGATGCTGTCATGCACTCATGTGAGCTTGTGTTCACGTACACGTACATGTTCATCTAAAACATACAGATATCTCTATACATATATGTACAAACGTAAACATAAATATGTACATATGCATGCATGTATATATGTATGTACGTATGTATGCAAGCATGGATGGAGGGATGGATGGATGGATGGATGTGTATGAAAGTATGTATGTCTATGTAAGTATGTGTATACATATACACATACTTGTACTTATACGTATACGTATTCTCCTCTCAGACATCACAGCTGTGTATACCAACATGAACATGTAGAGTATGTAATAAAGCAGCTGCGTATGTATAGGTATATGTACATGATGTGCATGTACATGCTGCATGTGCATTTTGCCGTTCCGGTGCTGAGGATCCTGAGCCGGGCCGTGCGCACAAAGCCTCACTCTGTGCATCTGAAACAGTGCTGAAACTGTTCTGCCAACTCAGAGCGCGAGGATTTCGGACACGTCAACACATCGGCAACATCATGGCTACAAAAACCCCGGAGTCTCCTTGGCCGCCGAGCTCCGCTCAAGCTCGTAGAGGCCTGCACCCCGACATCTGCTGTCCACTGCAAGAACTTTCAATTTAAAGGTTTTGCCGCATAGTTGTGATGCAGGCTCCAGTGTTCTGTGTCTCTCTTCTTTCGCTGAAATGCTTTGCAGGTTCCTCAGAACGTACGGCCGCTGCTCGGGGCTGGTGGTGCTGCATCTGACATGCATGCGGTGCCCTGCCTGCAGCCAGCCGTTCCAGGGCAGGGTGCAAGCTTTTCGCAGCCAGCACCTCGCGAACGCATGTCCGGGTGCTGAGAAAAGGAAGAAGGCTGGGTTTAGGTAGGTCCACATACTCGCCTCGGCACCTGTGGTGGAGGACCAAGTCAAAGATTCGCGTCCACAACCAAGCCATTTCAACAAGCCCGAGATAAAGACACTTGGCTTCAAGGCAATTCCGCTCGGGCTGAGCACAAGCAGGTTATTGATAGGGTTATGATTAAGATAATTCCCATCAAAGTACCTGTAAGCACAACTACGAGCTTGAGCGTCCCCTGCAAGTGGCCTGGTCAGCCGTCTCTGCTGGCCGAAGAGGCCTCGGCTGTCGACAACGAGAAGCGACCAGAACTACATGGAGGGTTTAGGGGGTTAGGCACCTCTAGAATCCAGCACTGGAACATGACTCATTATCCTCACCTGGTACAAAATGACACCTCTGATCTGACATCTATCAACAGCAGTCCCAGTGAGCCTGTGAAAATAACCCTGCGCACCCACGCATCGGGCCTTGCTGCCTCCGCCCACGCTCGGAGGCAGCGCGCCGCCGCGAAGGCCGTGCGCTGCACTTCACGCATCCTGGGAGCAGCGGGTAAAATTCGAATGGTGCTGGTGGGTGGGAGGGTGCGCAGGTGGATCCGATTTTGCCCAAGGGTGGTTTGGTTTCAGTTACAGTTCAAAGTTCGAAGAATTTTGAGCCAGGAGAGTGAGCTTGGATTGAATTCGATTTCGACTGGGGCTTGTAATGCTACAGCTCACCAGCTTGATGTTTCGGGATTCGGGACAGTTTGGGAGTCACCGAGACACAGCATGGCAGGAGGCATTGCTTCCAAGCGCCGGACTGCAACGCTGGTTGCTGGCGCTTCCTGGCCTGCCTGCAGTTTTGCAACATAGGGGAGGTAACATAGGGGAGGTGGAAAGATAACGACAGTATGAGGAAAGGGAAGAGGACGAAGTGGAGGAAGATGGGATCCAGACTCACGTGCGGTGTATTGGGCATGACCTTTCTAACGGTGCGTACGGTCTCCATCCGTGGGTGCGACACCTACATCACAGGAGGCACGATGTAAGTCATGTCTCCGAGATGTGGTCCAAGATCTCTTCAGAGGCTGTCGCTGGGCGTGGCATGAAACGGCGGGTTGAAGTCGGTCACGCATACACACCACTTGATGCATTTACAAGAGCGTCAACGTCGGATCATGGCTCACTAGGCTCCGCAAGCAAGACATGGGCCTGGCCTGGTGAACCCCACCCAGGCATCCCAGACGCAAGGCATCAGCCTGAGGTTGTCTCGAAGCACGGCATGACATCCCAAAGCGGCGACTTCAAAACCAGCCGTGAACGTGTCCGCAGGAAGGCCAACTGCAGTTCAATGAGTGCACGACCCAACTGAGATAATGCGGTGCAGCAAGGTCGGGCTGCAAACTTGCATGCACAACAGCCTACAGCACATGCGCCACCTGCTACCTTGCCTGCAAGGTTTCCTCACAAAGAAACGATCCACACCTCTGCTTCGGATCACTGAGCCGCCGGAGGTCAGCCTGCCCATCGCAGATGTCACATGCTCTGTCTTCCCCGGCTTCTCCCTCGAAACCCAGCGCAGCGCACAGCTTGGCCTTCAGCAGCGCAAGTCGCTGCTCCAGGCTGCGCCCCACTCCTCGCTGAGCTCAGACATGCTCAGACACGCCAGGACTCGACTCATAAAAGGAGAAGAAGAACTGACAAACACCGTCTCAGCAAGGTGCCGTTCTCGTTTGAGCAGCCACTCTTGAAGCTCAGGCCGAGACAGAGAACGAAAGAGAATACTGAACTATGTAAACACGCACCTCAGGGACTCTCAGCGCCGAATCCCGAAGAGTCCCGAAACTTACGGAGTCCAACCTGACGTGTTTGGGAACACAAACGTAGGCGCCTCTGATCCGGCCGCACAGGCGGTCTGAACTGAGTGTCAGCACACTCGAGCCTGCAAGTGCCGTCACTTCGCTCCAGGATTCTAGAGGCTCTCGAGTTCCAAAACGAAAAGTGGAGCAGGTAACACAGCAGCAGGCTGCGGGTGTGAACTCCATCAGCTTGCCGGAGAGGCAGACGCACAGAGCAATGGCGCATCTTTTTCGCGCCATGCGCGCCCTGCTTCAGCAGAGGTGCCTCGGCTCGCACTTCAAGGCTCGGCTCAATCAAAAACCATTAAAGAGACATAAATAGACATAAATATGTGTGTGTGTATATGCATATACATATATATATATATATATATATATATATCCCTCTCTCTCTCTCTCTCTGTACATACGTATGTGTGTATAATATATATATATATATATATATATTCATATATATATATATACGGAAATAAGGTCTCGGATCAATCTTCCTGTAGATGCAAGTAAATAGCCAGGACCCGTGACCCTGGCCCCACGACGGAGCAAGGGGGTCGCCGAAATGCCTACTGAAGACAGCCCTGTCCTGTCAGACTACTCCCACAAATCTGGCAGATGCGAGCTTTGTGGATGCAAATGCTGGCCGAGCTATTATGACATGGCATCAACCTGTGACTGGCCGGCTTATGATGACTGTTGCATTTGCCGTTTGAGAGGCGAGCTCTGCGCTGCAACTGGCGTTTTTGGTTGGCCAACCTGTGCTATTAAAGAAGCCTCTGAAACCAATCGAAGGACGGATGCGCTTAACGACGGCCCAACTGGGAAAAGGGCAGCCATGAGCAATGGCTGGATGCGTTCGATGGTAAGCGGCATGGACTGCCACATTCCACTACAATGCAGAATCATGTCGATGTCGCTGCGTAGCCTGGAGCATTGGAGCCTCTTTGTGGGCGACCACGAAGCTTCGACCGCTGACAATGACCATGATGGCCTTATGCAATCGCTGTCGGTTTGTGAGGGTGAAGAGCTTTCCGAAACCCATCGTATGGTGGGCCGTGCTTCGCGAAAGCCCGCACGTGGAATTTATGAGCAATGTCAGGATGCCCTTGATAATGGGAAGCGGCGTGGTTTGTCACTTTTCACCACGATGCAATGATCATGTCCGTTTTTGCAGCACAGTGGCAAGGGGCTTGGGTGGGGCTGCGATTGGCAACTGAGGGTGGCATGAACATGTTGCCGGATGCGGCGGGCATGTCAGTGGCCGTCCGTTTTCACTGGTTTGGCATGTCACACAATGAGAACACAACAGGCAAACTCTAAAGCGTCATTCCTTGGTGGCTCTGCGCAGAATCAGCACCAGTTTCAGATGCATACCAAGCATGTCAGCGGCTGACTGGAAAGCGGCAACACGAACTCTAGTCGGACGGTCTCGTGGCCCTGAGCTTCGCCTGTGATCCTGGTGGTGTCGTATGTCGCACGATTGAGGGCGACTGGCAAGCAGCAAAGCGCCGTCTTGCAGGCACTTCAACAGGTTGAGGGCAATCTTCGATCTGATTTGCACTCACACGTACCCTGCTTTTGTTGAGTCCAAGCTGCAAAGCGTGCACTTGACACGCTTTCACTGTAGGTTGGTCTTTCGGTTTTGTGGAGGGTGCGTGGCTGAATTGAGACAGCTTTTCGGGCCTTTGACATCAAGGCATGGCTGGATAAATCTCGACCTGCCTTTCCCCCTCCGGCAGATTTCTGCGCCATGGTCGGTCTCAACTTATTCCATCATACGGCATGCATTCCTCTGATGCCTTTGGTAATCACATGACCAATTCACAGTAATATCTAAATGTAAATATATACATATATCTATAGATATAGCTGTATACATACATACATATATATGCATATATATATATATATATATGTATTATGTATATATGTTTATGTGTGTATGTATATATACATATGTATGGCCCATGCAAAAAATCGTGGTGCCAGGCTGCACTCAGCGCTAACTGCCAGTTACCTGGTCCAGGGCATCCACCAAGTTATCTGCTCCGGCCTTGAGCTGGCATTGAGGCCGAGTTCTGAGTAGCAACAATATAACTAGTAACATTTGTCATACTTAGAAAAATAGTACTACAAAAAGCAATAACAAAACTCCAAAAAAACAATAAGACTAAGAACTTCAATAAGAACAGTAACAACGATAACACTAATAGGAAAAAGAGCTGCAGCGCCCACCTGTTGTACTGAAAGGGCTGGTCTGAAGCAATGTGCAAGGCACCATGGACTAAACGGCACTTCATGCAAACTCTGGCTTCGTCGCTGCAAGAAGCAAGACGTGTCTAAGTGACAAACGCCCAGGATACAAATTCCCGTCGTCACCAGCAGGTTCGCGGCAAGTACTGCCAATGTATACCTGGGACACACGCGCACACAAAAGAAAAAAATACAAACTGGCTCAAGGCTCGGAGCGATGCTCCTTCTGGAGCCCCCCACTGAAACCAAAAGCTCACACCAAGTGAAACTATTGCAAAAAACAACTACGATAACCACACGACTCTCAAATCGATTGCTTTCAATGAAAATGGTCACCATCGTGATCAATAAATATCATCGACAGCAACAACGACGATGAGGGCAACAAACTCAAAGGACGATGACCTTCCCTGTCCTTGAACCCGGAACCACCAAGCCAAAAGGTCCCCAACGACTACTGAGCCAAAACTCATGCCACTGCTCTTTTCCAACATGAACAGCCAACTGAAATTTGCAGCACCAGGCGCGGCAGCAGCGGCACGTCCTCTGGAGGATTGTGTATCGGGACTGAAACTCTGTGCGGCTTTGAAAACTTACTGACGACAAGAGCCGCCAAAACACCGATTATCAATAACACAATATTGATCATGAACCGCATGATACTACTGCTTAATTTGTTGTCACTACCAGCATCAGGGGCCTTGTTGGGTTTCACCAGTTCCAGAAGGTGATAGTTCCTTCGGGACGCGGCCCTCGTACTCTTGTTTTCGGAGGCCTGCCCCTGACGCGAAATCGCAAACCTTACACCTGCCAAGCTCAAGGTCCTCTGCTGGCAGCAAGGCAAGGGCGTAGTTTTTCACCCCTGTGGATATGGGTGCTAACCTCCCAGGGCCAACAGGTCTGATCGTCAGCTGCTATAATAAATATCTCCCCCCAAGAGCACTTCGACGCCTCCCCTAAAGCTTCGGGCCCTGTGAGGTTTGATGCCCTGCATCCCTGGCCTAGCCAGGAAAAGAGCCTCGACACGAGCAACAAGCAAGCCACGAATCCTACGTCGCACACTGAGGAACTGGTGCACAATTTCGGTGGCAGGTTCTCAGCGCAGCCAGGACTCAAGTCAAGGCAGTTTCGGCCATGCCATAAATCCCACTGTAAGTCCAAGTCATGAACACCTCGTGAACACTGAGCTTCCGGCCTGGAGCGGGCGCTTCTGCACAGCGCCCATGCGCTTCTGCAGGATTTCTGGGAACTCTAGGCCCAAGGCCTGCGATGCGATGCGATGGGCTTTACGGGTGTGAGGCCTTGGCCTGGCTAGGGCTTGGGCTTGGAGGTCGCAGGTGTGAAAAGGAAACGAGTATAATGTACTGTAATGTACTATAATTTATTACAACATACTATAATGGACTAGCCATCTTCCAGGACCCATCACCACAGAGGGATGCTGGGGTTTGCCTCACGTGTCTCTCCCGGCACCGCTGTCGTGCGTATCTTGTTTCCATGGCATATCCACTCCGGGGGCCTCACGCTGCCACAGATACGGGCATCATGACTATTCTGGTGCTCAACAGTAGCACCATCGTCATCATCATCGCTACTCTTCTGGGCGCGCTTCTCGCTATCATCACCATAACGGCATTGCAGAAGTTACCTCCTGAGCCCAGGTTCTGGCATTTAGGGTTGCGATCCCCACGCCAAATGTCACTGCGCAAACCTGTCCCTTGACTCTCCACCGGTACAAAATAGGGACCCTAATAGAGTACCCTAAAAAGTAGGATCCTGATTGTAAGGACTCCAAATAACGTACCTCTAATTATAGGAAATCCCAAATCTGTATCGCATCAAGACATCGTTTGATCTTCGTCTCCACTCTTCCCCAGGCCTTTCCGAAAATGCGACCTGGCCGGTTTAGGGTTTAGGTTTTAGGGTTGAGCCAGCATTTCGACAACATGCTGCTTTGACATGTCATACTGAGGGGGGCGTCTGTGCGGCTACTAACCCTATGCCAGCGTGCGTTTATTTTTCAGTTGTTTTCCTGGACACTGCAGGCGAGACAGCGAAACTGCAGCCACGCCACCGATGAAAAGCGACAGCAATGCCTAGGCTCGGACAAAAACAAGGCCTGCGACACAAATCACAGATCCAAATTATGCCAAAAGAACCAAAGTCTACAGAGAACACAGATTGCGGCATCAGGGTTGCATCAAGCACTCCGGCATCCAAGGAGCACTCAGCGTTTTCGCCAGAACCGACGCGGTGACTCCGAGGACTGCACCTACAGAAAGCGGGCCAATTCAAATCGAGGACGAAGCCGAGGACAACGGACAACTGCAATCAATGCTCGGCCCAGGCGCCATAGATGTTGCCAAGTGCCACATCCACTACCTCAAGCTGGCTACACAATCCGCTACTACGAGCAGGGGGATGCCAGCCTGCTTGGCACCATACGAGCTATACAGCAAAGCTCCACCAAGTGGATGGTGCAGTCGGCAGCTTCACTCGAATTCTTTTCCATCCCAACCGCAAAGCTTGCAGAGTCTGTGCTCCGCATGAAGATGAAGCTGCCCTGGTAGATGTCAACTTCAACATGCTTGAAAATTGGTGGAAATCCCGCTGGAATGAGTGCGAACATTGCTGCTGTTGCCAAGGCCGCCTTCTTCGACACCGAAGTGCGATGTCTGCGACAGATGTCAAACACAACACGAGGAGTGTCTGAAAAAAGAGATCTCTGTTGACACGGCGCATTCGAAGCGCCATCGATGGCCACAAATCACATGAGCTGAATGCCGGAGAACTGACCCCTGTGTGTTCCGACGGTATTGTCAAATGGAACAAC